CATGGGGCTTATCTTGTTGGGATCAATGGGATCATACTGCCAAGTATCTTCTTCTTCAGTAGGTGGTGATGGTCTTTGCATTGCTTCCAGTCTTGGAAGTGTAGAAGCTTGACTTCTTGGTGAGAAACGAGGGTCTCTAGGGCTAGGTGTATCCATTGCTCTGTTTTGGGGAAGCATTGATGTCGATGCTCTGCTCTTCATCTTCATCATTCAATTGTTCCTCATACTCTCTTTCTTCTTCTTCATTGTCCTCATGGACTTGAGTAGTGCTTCTTCTTGTGATGGCATTGCAATAAAAGGGAGGGTGGTTGGGTGTTGGACTCCTCTCTCTCTTGTAATTGGCATGAGATGATCCTTCAAGGGCTTGTAGGCGGTTGTAGATCGATCCAAGATGTTTGCTATTGCCATAGCTAGTATCTTCAATTCTCATGCTCTTGTTCAGCAACTCTTGATATTTGGAAGCAACATCAAGCTTAACTAGGGTCAAAGATCGATCATGATCCTCTCTTAACTTCTTAATGTCTTCATCAAGCTTGATCACTTGCTTGAATAGGACTTCAGATTTGTTTCCAAGGCTCTCATGGATGAAATCGATTCTTCTCTCCATCTTCTTTGTACTCTCTTCTTGATTTCTCAAGTACTCTTGAAGCATCTCTTCAATCTTGGTTTGGCGCGCAGCTTGGAGCTCTCCCTTGGGAAAAGTGGTGTCTTGTTTATGTCTTGGTGATGATGGATGGTGATGTGAATAGCTTGGGCGTGGTGGTGGGACATAAATAGGACCTTTAGCAAATCTGTGAGGAAAGCTCCTTTGTAACCATTCCAAGTCTTGAAAGCATGTTGGGCATTGAACTTAGCCCAGTCTTTGGCTTGTCCAGCTAGAGATAGTTGGAAAAGTTGTATCTTCTTGGGGTTATCTCCAAGTCCATAGTCGTGGCAAAGCTGCTCAAAGTTGCATAGATGCTCCTTTGCACACTCTGAAGTAGAATTGTAGAAAGGATTCCTCTCCACATGCTTGATTAGCTCTTCATTCAAACTTCAGGATGGGGTGGTATGCCTCCCCATTCTTCTTCATCACGCTCTCTCTCCAGCTGATGAGAGTAGTGGTGTACTTGGATTTGAAAGGTGGCTTCTTGCAAATCCTTTCCAAGAAAGCTTCTCTAAAATCGATCCATGACTCGATTGTAGAGAGTGGTTCATGCTGCGCCCAATCTAGTGCTGGTCCAGCTAGTGATGTGCTGAATAGCATCATCTTCTTCTCAAAGTCAAAAACTCCATAGGAATCACAAAGATTATCAAAGTGATCTATGTGCTCCAGCGCATACTCTGAAAACAGATCATGGAATTGATCTCTCTTCACGAACTCGATCAGCTCAGGGTTAATCTCCTCTTCTGGTGTGGCTAGAAGGTGTTCTTCTTGGTGTGATGCGGCTTGGCTAGACGTCTCCAGGTCGGCTGCTTCAAGGTAAGGAAGAAGTTTCTTCTTTGTCTTCAAGGGATAGTCTTTGGAGGACTATCCCATGAAGGTGGTGGTGCTTGAGGGCTTGACATCTCTTGTTCGCTCAAGAGGTCTTTGAGGTGGTATGTGGCGAAGTGGCATCGCCTTTATAGGAGAAGGACTTGTGAATCCTTCTCCATATCTAACTAGGAAAACCTGAAAAAGCTAAAAACAAAAAGGAAAAACCAAAAAGGAAAAACAAAAGAAAAAGGAAAAATAACAAAAACAAAAAGGAAAAGTGAAACCCTAGACTAGCTCTCTTGCAAGAGCTTGTAGGTGCGAATTGGTCCCCGGCAACGGCGCCAAAAACTTGATCGCGGGATCAGGTCTTCCCCTTTCCTATCCCTGATTCTGCAAGTGCACAGGTCAGAAGTAGTAAACGGGTATCGAACACGAGGACCAGATTGCACACTACAAGTTATGAGTTTGAGAACAAGCTAGGGCAAAAGTATAAGTTGGTTGAGTGCAGAGAAAGTAAAGCATGCAAGTAATAAAAGTGAGAATTCAATAGGAGAGAAAGGCTAAGCAATAGGATAGTCTTGAGATAAGCAATTCAAGAAGCATGAAATCAATCAATTAGGGTTACCGCACTTAGGTGCTAATCTAGAACTTGAAACACTATGGTATGATCATTCCACTGTCGAGGCTCCGACCCCTTTGTTAATCTACCTAGTCGCTAAACTTTTGGTATGTCCCTAGGTGATTAAATCAAGCATTAGTTCGATCAAGATCAATTGTTCACAACCTACAAGTAGATCAACTGTCGCAGTCTAAAAGAGATTGCCCACCAAATACTAGTTCAGGCGAATGATACAGCACTGTCGAGGCTCAAATCAACCTAAAGGCATATGCTAATTGGCCAGATTAACAACAAGCATTAAGTATAAGCAAAGATGGAGATTATAAGTAAAACCCTAATTGTGATCAATCATCAAGCATACATGAATGCTATCCTTTGACTTCCTATCACTTAACAAGTAAACTACTCAGACATAGAGAAGGAAACGAATTCATATTCATAAGAACAGAGATTCGAATCCTCTCTAGAAAGAGTAACAAGCAAGAACAAAGTAAAAGCAAGCAAAACTTTATTAAGATGTAAAATAGATTGTGGTCTCTCTCCTTCTTGAGTTACAAGGCTAAAAAGAAGTATTTATAATGCTCTAAGTATGAAAGCGGCTAGACCTAATCTAGCTAGGTCGGCGCCGGCTTTGGGCTTGAATTGTGCGGATTGGGCTTCAAAAACGGCTTCGGGTCGACCGCGGCGTTCGGACGGTCGGTCGGGACGATCGGCCGGACAGTCGGGTCTTGGCCGAGTCGGAACGGTCGTGGCCGGATGGTTTCATGGTCGGCCGGCTGGTCGGGCGGATAGATTTGGCCGATGGTTTCTCGGCCGGACGTGGGACGTTCTTTCCCGGCTCGGACGGATGCATCGGCCGTGGTACGCGAACGGGTTGCGCGGCCGCGAGGCCTTGTTTCCCGGCTCGCGCGCATGGTCGTGCGCGGTGTGGCGTGAAACGTTGAAGCTTGGCCGACCGCGGGACAATGTTTCCCGGGTCGTGTTGCGTGATCGGCCGATGGTTGAACTTTGGCCGAGACTTCAGTCGGACGGAATACGGTTTTGGCCGAGCGCGGAACATTCGTTCCTCGGCCAGCCGGACTGCGCGTTCGGACGCTGATTCTCGATATGCTGTCTGGAGCAGCCTTCACTCTTTTGGCTATAACTCCTTTTCTACTCATCCAAATGAAGCCATTCCAGTTGCGTTGGAAAGTTAACTCAATCAGAGCACGCAGGGAACTGGTCTTGATGAAATCCATTGAGTAGATCTTTTTCTAGCTCCATCCAAAGTTGATGCAGGGGCATTGAACTGGTTTAGAGTCCAAATCTCCTGTTTTGCTCCATAATGCACCTTTTTACCTAAAATGACTCTTTGCACTATAAATCCATAAAAACTACCTTTTAACACAAGAATCCACTAGAAAACCATTAGAAAACCATAGTAAAATAGCATAAAAAGTAGGTAAAATAGAGGTATATCAAGAGGGAAGCGCCTTTATGAAAAGATCAGCTGCGTTGTCACTTGAGCGAACTTAATGAATATCCACTTCTTGATTTTTCTCGAGTTCTTGAGTGTAGGAGAAAAATCTTGGAGGGATGTGTTTTGTCCTGTCGCTCTTAATATAACCTTCTTTGAGTTGAGTGACACATGCTGAATTGTCTTCGTAGATGGTTGTTGGCTCTTTCTTTGTAGATACTCCGCTGGCTTCTTGTATATGTTGGATCAAAGATCTCAACCATACACACTCCTGCATGCTTCATGAAGTGCAATGATCTCCGCATAATTTGAAGACGTTGCAACCAAAGTTTGTTTTTGGGAACGCCAAGAGATCGCGGTTCCACCGTATGTGAAAACATAACCGGTTTGCGATCGAGCTTTATGCGGATCAGACAAGTAGCCAGCATCTGCAAAACCAACTAAACCAACCTCGGGGTTTCTTGAATAATATAATCCAAACTCAATCGTACCTTGAAGATAACGGAATATATGTTTTATTCCGTTCCAATGTCTTCTGGTAGGCGATGAGCTGTATCTTGCAAGGAGATTAGTAGCAAAAGCTATATCTGGTCTAGTGCAATTTGCAAGATACATAAGTACTGATGTACTTGCATTTTACATAGTTTTAGCACATCTTTTATGCATCTTTTGCATAGTTTTAGCTTCCATTTGCATCATATCTTGTTCCTTTTCTCTTCTTATGCATTCATGTTAGTTTTAGGTTGCATTTGCATACATATGCATGTTTGGTCCTTTGAAATAGGTCTTTTGGAGCATTCTGGAGCATATGGGACAAGGAGCATGGAGGGACTTGGCACATGGACGCAGCTCAACTGGATACGCAAAGGAAGAAGGGAGAAGCCATCTTGAAGACCAGCTCGACCGTCTACTCGACCAACCGGTCGAGTTCCTCAACTCGACCGGCCAAGCTTCAACTCGATCGAGCTGAGAAGTCAACAGTCAAACCCGAAAAATGTTGCTTCCCCCTTGACTTTCCTTTGACCCTAAACCTAATCCTCTTGTATTTAAAGGCTCTAAGCCACGAAAAAACCACCAAGCTTTAGATTATTTTGTTTTAGTTTCTTTTAATTTATTGTCTTTTACTTTTTAGAACTAATCCCATCTTTGTGTTCTTGAAGCTCTTGCTTCTTGAATCCTAGATCCTGGATAATCTCTTTGTATTTGCACTTGCTTATTTCAATAAAAGTTGTTTAATTTCATCTCCTCTTTCTTATGATGTCTCTTTTATTGCATTTGCTTGTGTTTACATTCATGTGTAGTGAGTAGTTACCCATTAGGGTTTGAGATGGGATAGATTAGAGGTTTCATATGCTTAATCCTTCTAGCTTATGGTCTTAATCTAGATTCTCTCTCTTTTGGATAGATCTTAAGGCTACATGACCACTACCCCTGGCTTGTAAGTCCTTAGGCGACTCCCCACACGAAGTGATGGCATTCGCTGGAAAAGATCCACTAAGAGCTCCAATATCTCTTGCTCTAGACAATAGAGGTCTAAGGGGTTGGATGGATTAGTTTGGGCAATGATCCTATAGCCTCCAAGGTTTGATTCTCACTGGCTAACCCCCTGTTTCTGAGATCATTCCTTGGTTGATAGCCTTCACCTTGGGAAAGGGTTGGCTAGGCATTGAGAAGCCCAATATCAAGAGAAGCCTTGATACAAGGAGTTTTAAGAGCTAGATTGATTAAGTGTAGATTCCTTTGATTGCAAAACCCTGTCTTGAACCCTAATTCTCTCTTTATCTTGTTAAAGTCGTCACCTTTAGCTTTGTTTGTCTCAACTCGTCCCTAAACTCGATCGAGCTGGTACTTTGTCTACTCGACTCGAGTCTTGGTCGAGCTGACACTTCACTGCTTTGTTTACTTTTATTGCACTGCTTTTCATTTAGGTTGTTAGTGTTACTTCAAATCTATTACTGCTTGCTTGACTTTCTGGTTGTTTCATATTCTCATAGAGTGACAAGTTTCCCATTTTGGATTGATAACCCTTTGTACTACATCACTATGATGGTTAAAGGGAATTGTTGATGTGTTTGTGTTTGCATCTTACCACCATCATATACCACTGTTGCATTCCACTCATCTCATTTCATTCTTTTCACATCCACACACAAATCCTATCATCAATTTGGCGCCGTTGCCGATTTGGGAATATTTTTGTTGCATTTGAGTTTCAAACACACTTGGACGATCAAGCTATACCACCCCTGTTCTATTGTACTGCTGGGTTTTTGTCTCTTTTTGCAGGTGTATGCGAACTCGATCGAGTCGGTCAACTGAAGACTTGGTCGAGCTAGACTTACAACGGGTAGAAAGAGGGTTCAGAGGTCACAGAGGGTACAAGAGGAACCTGAGGTGCTTGTTGCTGATACAATGGATGTACCAGAGGGGAATGGAAACCCTTTGGGCAATGGACTCGGTCGAGCTAGGCAAACTCGACCGATTGGTCAAGGAGATGCTCCAAACCGCCACCAACAGAGACAAGGGATTGTTCCACCACCAGTGCAGAACCACAACTTTGAGATCAAGCTGGGAATGATCAACCTTGTCCAGAACAAGATGTTCCATGGATTGCCAAGTGAAGACCCCATTGACCACCTTGATGAGTTTGATAGGCTTTGTGATTTGACAAAGATCAATGGTGTCTCTGAAGATGCCATCAAGCTGAGACTCTTTCCTATGTCTCTAGCTGACAAAGCTCACCAATGGGAGAAGAGCTTGCCCCATGGCACAATCACCACTTGGGATGAATGCAAGAAGGCCTTTCTTGCTAAGTTTTTCTCCACCGGTCGCACAGCCAAGCTTAGAGGAGAGATATCCAGCTTCATCCAGCGAAACAATGAGACATTCGCAGAGGCTTGGGAGAGGTTCAAAGGCTACACAAGTCAGTGCCCACACCATGGATTCAACAATGAATCACTACTCTCCACTCTTTATAGAGGATGCTTGCCTAGGTATAGGGAGATGCTAGACACAGCTAGCAATGGGAACTTCCTCAACCAGGATGTAGATGATGGCTGGCAACTTGTGGAGAACATAGCTAACTCAAATGGAAGCTATGGAGAAGAGTATGATCGCACCAACCGGAGCTCGACCCACCACTCGATCGAGTCAGACGAAAAGTTGAGAAAAGATGTTAAGGCATTGAATGAGAAGTTGGATAAGCTGATCCTAGCTCAGTCCACAATGAAGAAAGTCAACTTTGTGTCTGCTGAGGAGATGGAACCAGTCCAAGAAGGGGAGGATACACAATTTGCTGAGGTGTGCTACATGAGCAATGGGCAAGGAGGTTACAACAAAGGATACTATAATTACAAGTCCAACCCTGCCATGTCATACCGCAACACTGATGTTGCTAACCCTCAGGACCAAGTATATCCTCAACAACAAGCAGCTCGATCGAGTCAGGTGCCACAACATGGGTATGGTCAAAAGAACAATTACCAAGGACCACAAGGCACTTTCCCTGGACAACAAATGAATATCCCACCAGGCTTCCCCCACCAACCGCCCCAGCCTGCACCTTCACAAGAGAATGAGCTCAAGGCAATGCTAAAGCAACTACTTCAAGGGCAAGCTGATGGGGTAGTGGACACAAGCAAGAAGCTAGCTGAAATAAACTCTAAGATCGAGAACCTCAACACAAGGGTTTACTCTCTGGAGAATCATGCTTCTTCTGTTGCTGCTGCTACAAAGCAAGGACAACTACCTGGTAAAGCTATTCAGAACCCCAAGGAACAGTGCAAGGTCATCTTCACTCAAGAAGGACTTGTTGAAGAAGAGGATCAAGAAAGGGTCATTGAAGATTTTTGTTTACTGCTGAATGATGAAGAGATTGTTGCTGCTGAGGCTCCTGGAGTCCAGATTGATCAACCAGAAGTGCAGCACCTACTGTGGCCATTCACACTTCACCAGTTGAGCTCGCACGACAAGCTCGATCGGCAGCTCGATCGAGTCCAACTCTAGCTCGATCGAGTCCGACCTCTTCTGTCCGACAGCCTGTTTTGCTTGATCCTTACCAACCGGTTGCCGCTTCCTCGTCTCGCCTACTTAGTCAAGGTCACAAGGAAGTGATTCACAAGTTCAGAAGAGATCTCAGTGGGATTGGAATTGAGTTGCCTCCTATGGATAGCATGAGTGAGGCATTTGATCAAATGCAAATGGTCAAGGATGTTCTAGCCAACAGTGATAAAGTTTCAGAGGTCCTACAAGAGTCTACTCATCAGTTCAACCTGCTTACTTCACCCACCTTCCTACCAAAGGTCAAGGATCAAGGGAAATTCACTCTCCCTTGCACACTTGGGCATCTTGAGATTGACAATGCCTTAGTGGATTCTGGAGCAAGCATCAATCTGATCTCTCTCTCCATGGCAGAGAAGCTAGGCATTGCTGGAGCCTTGCAGCGCCCTACTACTTCAATCATGTTTGGAGATGCAACTTCTAAGTCTCCTCTTGGAGTGTTCAAGAACTATCACTTGAAAATTGGAGAATGCATCATCCAAACTGATCTCACTGTGATGGAAATGGAAGAAGAGAAGGATTTGCCTCTGTTATTGGGAACCCCTTTCCTTAGTACAGTTGGCGCTTCAATAGACTTTCACAAGCAAGAAGTGATCCTTCACAAGGTGAATAGTTTGGTGTCATATCGCTTGCAGCCTAGAGGTTCAGACTTTTGTGCCACAATTGACAGTACCAATCTCAGTTCTAAGAGTCATGGAGCTACAAAGGTTGTGAAGGAAAGGGTTGACAAGGAACCAAGAGTTGGGAAGGATAAGGATGAGAGAGGACCAAGGATTGAGAAGCCACGTCTTGAGAGGGCTAGAGTTGAGAAACCACGATCTGATAGGCCAAGAGCTGAGACTTGTTCAAGCCCCTTGTGTGCTTGATGAAGAGAGCCTTCAAGCTTTGTTTGATGAGCCACTAGGAAGGGCTCTAAAAGAAGGGGAGGATGCAGCCTCTAAGGCAAGACCAGGAGATAAAAGAAAAGATCCACCAGCTCAGGCCCCTTCAGTCAAGCCATCTCAGCTCACAATGACTTTGTTCCCCACCAAGTTTGAAAATGGGAAGATTGAGTACAAGATAAGGTACAAGGGGAGATCAAGGCCATTCTCTAGAGCCAAGGCCTTGGTGACTTCAGAACAGTCCAGGGACCCAACCAAGCTAAAGGAGCTTCTGTCTCAAGTCCTCACTATCACCCTTGATGGTGGGACTAGCTCAACCAATGCCTAAGAAGGTAAAGGTCAAGCTATGGGACCTTAAACAAGCTCACTTGGGAGGAAGTCCCATGTTTATCCTTGTACATATTCTATTTATGCAATTTCTATCTATCTTTATGTTTTAACCTTTCAATAAGTTAAGTTTAGGTGTCAAAGGAGCCAGCTCGACCGACAGCTCGATCGAGCTAGAAACCAGGGCAACTCGATCGAGTTCCAACTCGACCGAGGTAAGTTTTTGAATTTCAAATTCATAACCGTTTTCTTGGTCAAGGGAGTGGGTCCCACAAGCTGATTTTGGTCCCCCACTACCCTAATTTGATCAGAAATCCCTAGCTTCTTGTTCCCCTTTATTTCACTTTTAATCTCAACCACACATCTCAAACACTCCCTCTTCCCCATAACTCGATCGAATCCACCTTCTCTCTCCCACACTTAAAATTTCTGAAACCATCTCTCTCTCTCTCACCACAAGAAAAATCGAATTTCAATCCTTTCTCTCTTAAGTTTTTGCGATTTCCTTTGTTCTTCATCTTGTTTTGCTTGTTCTTGTTTACTGCTCTTCAATTCCATCATTCAAGCAAGGTATGAACCCTAAAACCCTTGATTCCTCCATCTCGATTTCCATTGCTTGTTTCCTCTTTGATTTTTGATTGCATGTGTCCCTTGTGGACTTGTTCTTGAGTAATTGCTTTCATTTTCGCTTCTGTATAATCTTGTGAATTTGCCTCACCTCACCTCTGTTTTGCATTAGAACTTGTTGCATGTGCTTGAAAATTGAATTTGAGTTTGGTATTGGTTAAGATGCTTAGTTTTCACTAGAATTGCTCATTGTTCCATTTACTAGTTGTTCTTGGTTCAATTTGATTGATTAGCATCCTTTCCAGCTCTTAATTTGAATTAGGTTCGGTTATACTCTGTTTTCACCTAGCTCGATCGAGTTTGTCACTCGAGTTTTTTGACTCGATCGAGCTGAGTGTCGAGTTGACCAAACCGATCATTACAACTCTAATTCTTTGTAATTTTGATGCATTTCAGGTACTTTAGTGAAAAACAGTTAAGATGTTGAGAGTGAGGGAAGCCAAGCTTCACAAGAGGAAAGGCAGAGAAGCAAGGAGATGAAGAAGGATGTCAAGATGAAGGTTGGAGATGTGAGAGCGAAAGAGAGGAACCAGAGATGGAAGAATCTGATGCAGGGGATATGTCTACTCTGAGGAGACAGTCTGAGAGTGAGAGATTGAGGGAGAAAGGAGAACCAAGAAGAGGAATGACCCATTAGTAGTGAGAGTGAGCAAGGGGAGTTTGAGATTGGAGTGAACCTTGTTCAAGAGGAGGGAAATGGCTCTCCAAATGAAGGAAGGAGTGAGGACTGAGAGTGAAGAGGAAGGAGAAGAGGTGAACCAATTGGTTGATGAAGATGACAAGAGGGAACCAAGATGAGCCATGGAAGAGGCTGAGGAAGAGCAAGAGGAGGATGAGCTCCCCATGTACCAAGAGCACTACAATGCTCTCTTCTCCATGGACTTTGTGGAGACCAAGTACCCACATGATGACACATGAAGGCCCTTGGAATCTTTGAGGATGTGGAGTTGGTCTCAAGAACATGCAATTGGCCAAGTTCTTCTCTCACCGCATGGAATCCTACAAGGAGCTCACTTGTGAGTTTTGGCTTCAATGAGGTATCACATGTATGATGAGCTCGATCGAGCTGATTGGACCAAGGATTGGGGGATCACGTTCTTGGCAAGGGAGAGAAGAAGATGGTGACCTTTAGGCAGCTTGAGATCTGTTTGGGTTCACTATGGAGAAGGTAACCAAGTGGAACATCAAGGAAGAAGAACTCCAAAGGTTTGGGCTACAATCGCTGATGAGGTACTCTTCCTCAAGGTCCAAGGCTGCTCAGATCAGGAGCCCAGTGCTTGAGATATGTGCACAAGGCACTTGCCAACACCTTCTTTGCAAGGAAACCACTGGGACAATCAATGAGGGAGAACTCAAGCTCCTTGACATGGGAATCAAGCCCATCATCTCACGCACAAGGATGGCAAGATCAGAGGAGATAGGGCACACGCAGGGAACTCATGCCTCTCCTTGACAGCTCCACCTACAAGATCACAGCTTACAACACTAGGCATCAACGAGGAAGAGCTTAAGTGTTGGAGGGGTCATCACACCATCTTGTGCAGCTGGAGTGAACCCAACTGACAAGAGAAGGTCCACTCCACCAGGTTGGATGGACATCAAGTTTTGCAAGACCAACCTTCTCATTGAGCACAAGGAGTTGGATGGGAGATTCCAATTCAAGTTCACCATCCATTGGCTGGACTCCTCCAAGCTTCTCCTGCCCAACCCTGAGCTCACCACAGGTCAGGGGTGAGAACATTGACTTCAGACCCCCTGTGTACACTTAGTTGGGCATGAAGCGGATTTGCAAGAGAAGAGATCGAGCTCGATCGAGCTGAGGATCGAGCTGAGGACAAGCTCGAGGAAGTGCGGATTTGGGTGAGCCTGAGTGCTATTACTTTGAGGAGTATGAGGCTCCAAGGATGAACCCCTCTGTTGTGGCTGCCCACAAGAGGATTGGACTTCTCCAAAAGTTCAACAAATGGCAAGGGAAAGCCATTGAGAAAGATGCAAAAGTCCATGGACAAGATGGTGAGCAAGATCAAGAGTTTGGAGAAGAAAGTTTCTGGTTCTTCAAGCAAGAAGAAGTCCAAGGCCCCACTTTCCCTAGGAGTAGATCACTCCTCACCACTCCAAGGAGGCTCCCTGCCCAAGAGCCTCACAGAGCCTCTTCTTTCGAGCCAAGGGAAGGAGAAGACAACACGCAGAGAAGGAGGAAGACTTCCAAGGCCAGACGCTCCAGCTCGACCACCGGACTCGATCGAGTCCAAACAGAGGAAACTCAACTCGATCGAGCTGACGGTCGAGTTGACCTGGAGGAGCCCCAGTTTGAGATCCGGGATTTGAATACGATCCCATGCCTTACCAGGAGCCTCCCCGGAGTAGATGGAACCCCTATGGACAGTACGAGCTACCAATGCTCCACCAAGGCCAAGGAAGCCACACACTTTCAACGATGAAGAAGAGGAGGAAGAGGAGCCACAAGCTCGATCGAGTGAGCCGCAAGAGGCAACCCCAGTTGCATGGAGTGCTCCTGATGGCCGTCTACCATCTCCAGACCACGACCTAGTCTCCCAGTTCTTTGGGGGACACTGAGGTATCCAAACACCAACCCTTGTATATACCATTTCATATTTTCTTGCTTTGTTCTTGTTTTTCTTGGTTTTGCCCTCTTGAATCTTTCACTAAATTTTTCTCACACAAGGGACTGTGTGATTTAAGTTTGGGGGAGGGTTCAAGAGATGATTTAACCTTGTTTTCTTTGTTCTTAGTTTTTCATTTATCTTTTGCATAGAAAAACCAAAAAAATCATAAAATTTTCAAAAAATCCAAAAATATTTTCATCTTTTTGCATTCATATTTGTTAGACTTGTTTAGGATTGCATTTTTCACTTGCATTGTTGATTTGACTTTGAAAACTTGTCCATCTTTTGCGATTTCTTGAGTGCCCTGTTTTTAGATTCTTTTGTGCATTAGGGTGAGATTGATTGAGCAGCAAGAACCATGTTTATCTTGATCATATCGCTGCATGCACATCTCATTCAACCATTGCTGTGATTTGATGCATTTCCCTATCTATTTGAACCATAACTTGATCTTTAATTACCAATGCTTGCATTTGATTTCAACTCATGGCTACCACATACATATCTGGACATTCTTTACCATTTTCATATCCCTTTTGCTTGTCCAGATAGCTGATCTCTATCTTTGAGACAGTTACCACACCTTAAACCTAAGCCTTTTCATTTCAAACCCCATATTATCTCTTGTGCGAATGTGAGAACCTTTCTTGGCTTTGCTTAGCATAAGGTGTTGTGTTTAAACCGGCAGGGGCAGTAGTTCTAGTTGTCTAGTTCTCTTGGGATTGTTTTCAGGCTAAGTTTGGGGGTGCCAACTCGAGCTCGATCGAGTTGGGTGTAAAAACCAGAAAAGTGGTAAAAGTTGGGAAAAACCCAAAGGAAAAAGAGTTTAGTTAAGTCCAGGGAGTTAGTGTTTAAAAAGGGTCTAGTAAAGGTTTGGGAAGTTAAAAAAAAAGGAAGTA